TCCCTCATTCCAATCGCGTACTGCAAAGACAAGTTCAACACGTGCATCGTACAGTTGGTGACAATCGAGTCCTCGAACAGCTTGGAGGTCTTTCTAGCACTTGCAGTGGTATCCGATACCGTAAATTGAGTCATCGCGGAGATGTCAACATCGTACAGATCGCGAATACGCGAGCAGATCACCCGCTGCATGTCTGTAGCTGCATGCGATGGGTTTCCAACAGTGAGTAGGAGAGCAATCTCACAGTGATTCCAAGTCTTGTCGATGAACGAAGCGGTCGCCCCGAGCACACCGACCTTGCCGTTTCCGGTGGTCCATCCGTCGTGGTGCAGATTTAGGAATGTGCCATAAGCTGCCTTGAGCTCTCGCTGGAAGAAGCCACCTGTCTTATTACAGTACTTGAACCATACCCCAGTCAGTAGGTCTCGGAACGTCGATGCAACTAGTATCGTAGCTCCAAGGTTACCGGTCAATCGCTGAACCAAAAGCTTGAAGCCTTCACTCGCAACCGTGTTGTAAGCTAGCCCCGAACTGATCAACCAGTGTGCAATGTAGACGCTGATATCTCGTTGGGTGGGGGCCCACAACTTCTGGAGTGTTCCACGTCGTTTAACCGCGCGATCATTCTCAGCCGGCGAAAGTGATCGCTTGGGGTTACTGGCATGATCAGTGGCTTCGTCAATGTTACGAGTAGCAGCTTGCAACCTTGCGCTTGCCTCAGCTTGTCCAAGCTGGTGGTCTTCGTGAGCGGCCACCATGTGCGCCTTCGCGTTGGACGTGTTGGTCCAGCGGTGCAGAGCGCCTTCCCATGCTCTAGCCGATGCGTAAGGCTGGCAAGTCAACTCCTGAGCACACAAGAGACAGACATGGCTGAATGACGCCTTGTCGCGACCACGTGTCTTCACGAACGGTGTTGCCAGACGATAAGCAACATCCCACACTTCGTGACGGCAATTCTCCTGGCGGTAATGAACAACCCCGAGGGGGATGCCAAAGGCATCCAATCCAGACGAGGGCGACGAGTGGATGAAGAAACGGGAGAAAATATTCTCGCTTCAGTCAAGTCCGTCACTGATGGTGTCGTGGCTGCTTGCGTTGTTGGAAGAAATGCCTCCTGTGAGACTGACAGTTGCGACACCTGGCTTGGCTGGCCCAGAGATTCCCGCGGCTCAATGTCACTATCCGCAGCCGATGATGGAGGCGATGTCAGCGTCTTCCACTGGTACACGCACGCCGCACTGCAAAAACGCTCCGACCACTTCCCGGAGTCATAGAGCTCATTACTGCAGATGTGGTGAACACCACGTTCACAAACGATACATGGATCAGTCGTGGTGAGATCCGCGCACGTGCAGTCAGGATCCGCGCACTTCATGGGCTCGGCTTGCAGGCTGGTACTGGTACGAATCTTGGTCTTCTGAAAATTTATAGAATGAACGAGAATCGCTCCAGCGGCTGCTTGTAGATTTCATGAGCCT